AAAAAAAAAAAAAAAAAGGGAGTTGCTTAAAATCTACAAATAGGCTAGGTGTGGTGGCTCATTCCTGCCTGTAATCCCAGCACTCTGGGAGGCCAGGAAGGGTGGATTGCTTGAGGCCAGGAGTTCTAAACCAACCTGGACAACATAACAAGACCCTATCTCTGCAAAAATTTTTTAAAAAATTGGCTGGGTGTGGTGGCACACACTTGTAGTCATAGCTACTTGGGAGGCTGATGCAGGAGGATTGCTTGAGGCCAGGAATTCAAGCTTACAGTGACCAATGATTGGACCACTGCACTCCAGCCTGGGTGACAGAGTGAGACTCTGTCTTAAAAAAAAAATTTAAAAATTAAAGTTTAATTAAAAAACTAAAAATATACAAACAATTGCATATTGGAGGAAAAAAGAGTGCTTTTCAAAGTAATGCTTTTAGTTTCAGCATTTTCTACTGATAAATTCTATGACAAGAAATTTTGCTTTTGATTTAAACACAAATTGCTTAGGTAAATGGATATAGTAGGTAAGAAAATAGTAAAAATAAGGTGGTTTTGCTTTGTTTTGTTTTTTTAGGGTCTTGCTCCATCACCCTGGCTATAAGTGCAATGGCCCAATCATAGCTCAACACAACTTCAAATCCATGGGTTCAAGCAATCTTCTTGTTTTAGCCCACCAGCTAGATAGGACTACAGGCACACACCACCATGCCTGGCTAATTTTTAAATTTTTTTCAGAGACAGGGGTCTTGCTATGTTGGCCAGGCTATCCTCAAACTCCTGGGCTCAAGTGATCCTCTCACCCCGGCTTCCCAATGTGCTGGGATTACAGGCATGAGCCACCACGCCCTGCAACATAGTTAATAATTACTGTGCCAATGTTGGCAGTGAGATTATATTAATTCTGCAGACTGGGGAGTAGGAAGCAATGTTATATAAAGACCAAATTTCCTGTATATATTCGGAATTATTTAGGAAGACCTATATACCAAAACTCTTCTTGAGTTTGTTGTTGGCTTACCTCTTCTGCTCCTTCCTGAATGGAGCAATACGTAAAATAGTTCCCCAAATGAGCTCCTTCTGATTTGAAAATAGATCCATCTCCAGGATAAATCTCTATTGAGTTCATATTTTGATGAGTAAGTCTAAGGAAGAGAAATAATCATTAAAATTTTTTTCTTATTGAGATTAAAACATCCATGAAGGCAGTCATTAAAAAAAAAAAAACCCAAAGAAATATAGTTTTCTTGGCCTATCCAGAGTAGTGGATAATTTCATATTTGGAACTCTACCAGCTAAATTAACTTGTTTACAAAGATAAACAGAACATGTAGAATTGGTTTATGTATTTATTTTAACAACTAAACTCAGACCTTCTGGAATTCAAGCATCTTGTCTTATTATCCTTCTTATACTCCCATTGCCAATCACAGGGCTGGCACATAATAGTCACCACATCAATATCTATCACACTGGAGTTAAATACACTACTTCCAGAACCTGAAAATAAAATATTCTTTAACACATTGACTGCCACATTAGAAAAAACAATTTTTCCCTGGGGCCATGGTGTTTTTATTACAAAATAGAATGAAAACTTCGCAAACAAAACTATCCTTTCTAATTTAATTGAATTTTAATGAAATTGAAATTTAATGAAAAATTTGTTTATATTTTATCATTTTCTGTGTGTGAGTTATACGCAATGAAACTGTCAATATTAACTGTAACAAGAAGAACTCAATAAGTAAGATTTTCATGAACCAAATGTAGTTACATATGCTTCATCAGGCCCTGGGCTCAAAACTTGAAAACAACTCACATGGCAGTTGATGTGTTAATAATGAAACGGGTAAAATTAATAATTTTTGGATGAGATTAGCCATTTGTGCAAGGAGCCACCTTAAGAAAGGGGACTGACTGTACCTGCAGCAACCAAAAAATAATAAAGGCCTTATTTTATAACATATAAAAACATAAGCCAAGTTAATTTTATTAATATCTATATTAGAATATCTTGTGAGAAGGGATGGGTCTTCACCCATGAAAAGCAGAGGGTTGCCCCCCTAAAAAAAACTTTAACAGTGCTCTTCTAGCATTATTCATGAAAGTAAAGCTTACAATCTGGCCAACATTACCATTCTGGTCACTAGGGGAGGTGTCCTTTGTTATGGGGTACAGATAATTCAATGCCATAACACTGGCACAGAGCAGCCATCAATGAATATTTGCTTTCTGAATAAGGCCAAAATTTCTCTTAGGTATCTAACTTCTCTAATTCCATGCTCAATAGGCAAACTATTATTTTGACTAATTCAAAACACTAGATCCTCTGATGCTTAGAAGGGGTATCCTAAATAAGTGATATGAATATTACATTCACTAGCACAACTGATCTCTGTCCTTGGAGTTGCTATAGAAGTCTTGTAAACATGGTTAATGTGATTGAGTCACAAGACCCCTGTGTGCACTAATTAGTTTTGAGACCTGTAATACCCAGGACCAAACACAGGAGGGACAGTCAGCCCAGTAGAACTGTGTCCTCTTGTGAAAATCTGTCTGCAAGGCTAGTCCCATCCTCTGTGTGACATCAATAATGACTCCAATTCTAACATAGGTGCTTTACCTATATGTAACACCCTTGTACCAAACCACTTTCACTAGTTCAGGGTAGGAATATTCTTCTTCATCAGATTGTTTCTGTAAAAGTGAATTACAAAAATTCCACCTGTGAAGGATAAAATACAAGCCATTACTGTTGGTTACTCAACATAACTACCTTTTTTTTTTTTTTTTTTGAGACAGTCTGGCTCTGTTGCCCGGGCTAGAGTGCCGTGGAGTCAGCCTAGCTTACAGCAACCTCAAACACCTGGGCTCAACCAATCCTTCTGCCTCCCGAGCACCTGGGAGTACAGGTATGCGCCACCATGCCCGGATAATTTTTTCTATATATATATATATATTTTAGTTGTCCAGATAATTCCTTTCTATTTTTTCAGTAGAGCTGGGTCTCATTCTTGCTCAGGCTGGTCTCAAACTCTAGGCCTTGAGTGATCCACCCGCCTCAGCCTCCCAGAGCACTAGGATTATAGGCGTGAGCCACCATGCCCAGCCAACATAATTACCTTTAAAAGTCAACAAAATAGAACTACTGTAACAAGATTTCTTTGTGTAACTCATTAGCTCAAAGAAAAAAAAATATGAAAATATATTAATCAAATCTAAAAACAAGTCCTTTTCCCATACATTTTTAAGTATTTTCGATAATCTCATTATAGAATCTTAGCATAATTCTTAATACATAAATTAACAGTTTATAAACATTTAAAATTTGGCCTGGATTCAAACAACAAATATTTAGTAAGATATCTATGGTAAACAGAGTACTATGCTATACAAACGGGTATATTACACCCACAAAAGGAGACAGTCTCTGTCCTCAATGGAAATTCCTATGGCAGGGACATTAAGTAGTACCGTGTTTCCCCAAAATAAGACCTATCCATAAATAAGCCCTACCAGGATTTCTAAGCATTGGCCAAGATAAGCCTTACCCTGAAAATAAGACCTAGTGATGGGCGTGGCTACGCAGCATATCTGACAACCCATGCATTTCATCGTGGAGTGGTAAAGACAACAAGCAGCCTTCTCATCTGCCCCATCACGACAGCTACTATCCCAAGGTGACCAGAAAGGTGCGGGCAGCGCCACCAACAAGGTCAGCTCCCCATCAGGTACCAGCCATCCTATGCTGCTGCAAGCTGAAGCTTTGAGGGAAAATAACACATCCCCTGAAAAAATAAGCCTCGGTGTTTCTTGAGGAAAAATAAATATAAGACTCTGTCTTATTTTTGGGGAAACATGGCAAACATTGAGTGTAAAGAGAGAGGACATACTGGATGTTGTGGGATGGTACAACACAGACCTATTTTCTAGGGTCTTCAGGAAAATAACCCTAAAAAAGTCAGATTTCTTTCTGACAGAAATATCCTCTTTCCTGACAGAAATCTCTTTTCTTAACAGAAATCTCTCTTTTCTGACAGAAATCTTTTTCTTAACAGAAATCTCATTCCTGACAGAAATCTTTTTCTTGACAGAATCTCACTTTCTTGATGGAAATCTCCCTCTGACAGAAATCTACTCTTTTCTTACAGAAATCTTCTCTTTTCTAACAGATCTCTATCCTTTTGACAGAAATCTCCCTGTTTTTGAACAGAAATCTCTTTTCTGATGGAAATTTCCTGTTTTCTTGTTGCAGCAGTGTGCATAGCTAGCGTTACAGCTCTTGTCACAGCTCTTATTCATTTGACCAGGGAAGAACCTAGTAGCACACGAAAGTTTGAGAACAGCCTTTATTCTCCTACAGCAGGCTCAGCACACCTGGTGTTCCGGCTCTCTTTGCGTCTTTCAATCTTCTGACCTTCTGCTCCCCTTCCTTGTTCTCCTCCTGCTTTTATACCCTTGGTAGAGTCAAAAAGTGTCCAATCAACAACAAGCTTTAACATCCAATCAAAGACAGTGGGATTGAAAAATTACCCAATCAGGATCACGCAAGCAGCGTGGAAACAGGCAGCAGCACCTGGGCCGTGGGGATTCCGGCACACTGGGTCCCAGTGGCACACAGGGCCTGGGCGGCTCTCTGCTGTGGGGCCTGGCCCAGCAGCGTGCCCTCCAACTGGCCACGCGCAGCACTGGCCTGCGGAGATGCAGAGCAACGGGGAGTGGCAAGCAGGCCGAATCCTGGTGCCTATCATTTTATGTATCATTCTGACAGAAATCTGTTCTCTTCCTGACAAAAATCTTTTCTTGACAGAAATCTGTCTTTCCTGAGAGAATCTCTTTCCTGCAGAAATCTTTTCTTTCTTGACAGAAATCTCCTGTTTTCTGACAGAATTTTTCCTGATCTCTCTCTTCCTGCAGAAATCTCTTTTAACAGACATCTCCTCTTTGGACAGAAATCTCATACTTCCTGAACAGACATCCTTTGGCTCACGAATCTTCTCATGACAGAAATATGTTCTCCTGATTCTTCTTCCTGCCTGACAGAAATGTCCTCTTTCCTGACACAAATCTCCTCTTTCCTGACAGACATGTCCTGCTTTTCTGACAGAAATCTCTCTCCTCCTGATGGAAATCTCCTTTTTCTTGACACAAATATCTTCCTGACAGAAATCTTTCTCTCTCCTGACAGAAATCTCCTCTTTGCTTACAGAAATCTCTTTCCACACAGAAATCTCTCCTCGCTGACAGAAATCTCTTCTCTCTGGACAGAGATCTCTCTCTTTCCAACACGAATGTCTTTCTTTCCTGACAGTAATCCTACTCTCCTGACAGAAATTCTCCTCTCCTGACAGAAATCTTTCTTACTGACAGAAACTCTTTTTCCTGACAGTAATCTCTCTCTTTTTCTCACAGAAATTGCTCTCTTTTGTGACAGAAATCTCTTCTTTCTTGACAGAAATCTCTCTTTCCTCATATTACCTATCCTCTTTGCTGACAGAAATCTCCTTTCTCTGGACAGAAATCTCTTCTCTCTTGGACAGAAATCTCTCTTTTCTTTCCCCAACAGAAATCTTTCTCTTTCTCGCAGAAATCTCCCTTTCCTGACAGAATTC